ATACTGAGAGTTTGTATTTTTGCAATAGCATGTGTCAACGGCCTGGAAAGGTTAATGTATTGGCAGACGACCTCACCGGCGTGACGTGACTGTATTGGATCCAGGGACCTTGTCAACTTCTGGACTCATAAGCCAGCTGTCAGTCGTGAAGAATGACAAGCGGACTGTAGAGAGGATTGTAAGTCACCTGGTGGCGCCATCACTTTGTCGACCCAGACTGTGGTGGGCTCCTCACGTCGTGATGTCCCTGCATCCAACAGATAGTCCTCGACGCTTTTACTGGTTTTATTGCGCCTCTATTTGCTGCTCATCTCGTCTGAGGTTCTGCCCCCGTGGTCCCTACATTCTGTTCGGGGGAGCTAAAAGCTGCATCCATGCCTCTCCAGGCAGGTGCTGGTAGGTTATGTGCCAACCTCGGTGTAATCACAGGATGTAGCTCTGGACCCCTCAAAATGTTCGGTTATCTTTCAGAGATCAGTTGTTAGTCAGTTTGACTTTTGCGTGTTCGTTTCAAATGGAATGCCACATCCCTGTTTTGATCACGAGTTTAGCGCGGAAGACAAAATCTGTTGAGCGGCGGCAGCCCTGAATTCCAAGCGCAAAAACTTGGGCTCGTCCACTACGTAGCCGTCTAATCCAACACCACCAAATGGGTCATACAGCAACCGAATCATAGCAGCCGTCAGTCGGAAATGAACAACGAATGGAGGAAATGTATGGTAAATCATGCTCCTTCCTTTACCGCACCGGCTGCAGGAAGAACATTACTAACGATTGGATATCGCAGAGAAGAACGAACTGACATGTTCATCACGACTCTCATCTCCATTTGTCGTAATCTCGGTGCCCTCTAGAATCTTCAATATGGACGCTCCCAGCAAACCTTTTCAATAGAGGCTGGGCCAAGTCCTCCACCGCTTCTTCTTTTCGAGCTCGCCTCTCAGGTCTTTTCTTGTCCCTTTGAAAAGTTTAGGGACCTAATACACCTAGTGCGCTCCCGGGCAAGCCCAGAGTTATAGAGACCTCCGAAAACTCATCCATCCTTGGTATCGCGCAACGAAGCAGGGATGACAGGAAGACTAAAGTTCACTTTGTCGATCCACTTCTGCGACTTGGGGAGCCGTTAAACCCCTGATCCAGCCCGAGAGTCACTGTACTTGAGGCGTGGAATCGATCTCGGTAGACTTAGAGTACGCACTCGTTTAGGAGTTTTCCAGTTCTGTGTATACGAAAATTACATAATCCGAGGCTTGAGAATAATATTTGTTTTAAACTTAGAACTCACTCTGTAAGGATACGGCATAGTTCAAAACATTCATCCAAAAGATGTTGAGGCCAAAACAAAAGTCGTTACATGCTTTCTACTTGATATAGATCACTTCGGGTTTCTTGGGAACAGTAACACCGGTAATCTTCACTTTCAACATGTCCAATCGTCGATACTGTCGATCCACCTCTTCCCTTGCCAATACTACCACCAAGTGCTTCCCAGTTCCTTTCAACTTCCCAATGATGGCGACCGATTCTGCGCCCGGTAACTTCCACGCCTCCGGAACGCCCGGTTCTTTGATTTTGAGCAGCAACACAGGCATACGCAGCCCAATATTCGTCATCGAGAGGATTGGATCGGAGTCTTGAACGTCCTCGACCGGGGGTGTTACCTCACTAAAGTTTGGTGGCGCTGCTGCCAGCATACTGTTATATTGTGATGCTTTCTCTTTCCAGCCAAAGATACTTTTATCGTTGCAGCTTTGGACCAGTTCTGCCTGAAGTCGATAAAAGGCCCGATCGTGTTCTCCATATGCGATTGGAAGGACAACATTGAATATACCAATCAGACAATACGCCTGATCTTCAACTCTGGTCGTCCTTCTTTTGGAAGCCCAGCTAAGTCTCTTTCCAATGTCGAATGGGCCTGGTTTGAAATCGAGTAAATCTTCGAGCGGGATTCCGGTAATTTCCGAGATTGTTGGCCAGAGTGCTGCTTCCGTGTTCTCCGTCTCCTCGTCCGCTTCCTCAGCTTCCAGTTTCTTCTTGTCTTCAAGTTTGTCGCTGTCGGACTTCGTTATTTGAGCCCAAAACCTTGCGTAGAATGCCACTCGTTTTGGCGCAAGGAGTTCTTGAAGCGTCCATCCCCTCGTGAACCACGGATCTCTTTCCATTTGCGAAACGTGGTCCGTTTCACTCAACCACACAATGCATACATGGGAGTCTCTATACCATGCATACATGGACCGGAGAGACTCGTCTAACTCTGCACTGCTTGTTTTGTTGATGCATACGGTGTCAGCCCAACCATACTTGCAATCTTTGTCCATTGACTTGCTTCGAAAGTGGAGGAGCTTGCCGATGGATCCCGAAGATGTCTCTCCTTTGATTGTGGACAATTTGTCGAGTAATGTGCCCGTGGGTGGCGTTTCGCTTGCCATCAAAGTCTCGATGGCCCAGGTAATGGACTTTTTCTTGGCCACAGAAATTTTATTCTTGCTGGGAGGCGGTCCTTCGAGCATCATAAAGTGGTCGAAGACTAATTCGTCGGAATCCCATCTGTGCGAGAATATTGCATATTTCAGTTCGTCCAAAACTTGTTGACGACACTTGCACGGGTCTTCTTCACAAAAGTAGTGTCCTTTCGCAATACGTTCGCTGATTTCAGCTTGCAAATCGAGTCGATGAAGTATTGCCATGTCGGACAGCCTAAGAAGACGCATGGGGAGAGAATTCTGAATATATTCTCCTGTCTTCCAGCCCAGAGCTCATTGAACTTTGAGTTAGCTTCCTGCTTGTAGTGTTCAATGTCATGTACTCACTAGAGTTGTGTGTCTGCCACTTTATGACGAGATAAATATCTCAGATCAACCACACTCTCCGTTCTTAAAGATGTCACATACTTTCTGCGGGGAAGAAATTATTGGATGAGGTACTTCTCGTTAACGGGAAAGTTCAACTTACTCCCTAGAAGGTGAGTGCAAAGGTGGTGAGTATATGATATGAAGGTTCAAACCGATCTCATACCACCTAATGGAACGGCCTACGTTAGCAGGCAGTTCCGCACACGTCTAAGTGTTCACTCACTCGCTTGAATCCAGGGGGAATTGGAGAAATCAACAATATTGTCATCATAACCTAAGAACACACATACATCCTGAGGATAGAGTGAGGGATCACATCTTACGATTTGAAGAAACCTACGTACCCACTGATACACCAAGGGCGGGCAAGCACCATCAGTAAAATATCGCTCTTACATTCCGATTGGCCACGTACTATCTAATGATGGGGTTGAGTTAGTACGTCATTCTTTATCCTGATTTGTTACTCACATCCTAGAGACGATTGCAAGTGATTACAGTTAGCAAACATCCCATCGCTACTTGATGATGACATACATCCTAACAGTCGAACCCGGGTCCTGTCAGTGACATAATTTGCAACCAGTATAGGTGGTTACGTACATCCTGAGAAGCAGAAGATGATCAAGTTTGTCAACACCCATCCCTCTGCTAAATTCAAAGGTCCACTTACGTCCTAATAGTGAATAGGGTCAAACGCAATTAGCGTGCACCTTTCCATCTTCAAAGATGACATACCTCCTGATCCCCAAGAATTGGGATGAATCAGTGATATGCCTTCAACACTCAAAAAAAGGTACATACATCCTGATATCCCAGTGTAAAGTAGATATAATCAGTGGAATGCGCCCACAATCCAACTGGCTACCCACCGGCTAATAGCGAGCAGATGATGGGCGTCAGCGAACGTCGTTTCATGGCTTCACGTAATCACATACATCCTGGAATTCATATGGCAGAACAAGTCAAGAGTGTCTAAAAATAGCACTCGAGTGTGGATCAAGTTCGGCGACGAACGAAAGTGAGGTGCTTTTGTATCTCGATAGTGCCATTATGCGAGTACATCAGCTTGCTACGTGAAATTGGAAATCGAGATCATGATAGAATTCGAAGTAGTATGGTGTGAATATCGTCGTTACTCCATGGATGGGCCATCCTTGCATTTCATTGGGAGGAGAAGCCTCCAAGTCGCTCGTGGCCGGACCCCACTTTTGTTCATCCATACATCCTCTACACGTCTACCCCCAGCC